CCCGATGCTTTGGGAAGTGACCCTCCTGGAGAAGGGGCTCACCCTTTCTCCATCACCAGGCTGTGACCCACCAGGGCAGGAACACTGCCGGTGCCTTCCCACCCCACCCCAGCCATCGCCCCAGGGGCTGGGGACAAGCACTTACGTCACACAGTTGCTCCTCGGTCCTGCACCACGGTGCTGGGTTCCTGTGGGATAGAGAGATGTGGATGTCAGTGCTCCTATGGGAACAGGGTGCTGGGATGGGGGACAGGGTCACTGTTGGCCACAGCAGTGACCCATGGTCCCCTGGGCAGAACCCCACTGAGGCAAAAGGAGCTGACTGCCACCCGAGTGCCGCCTCTGCCCTTCCCCATCACGTGCAGGACATGTTGAGCAGCAGCTAACAACCTTCATGGTGGCCCTGGCTGGGACCTAGGGGATGAGGGAGTGTCCAAGTGGTGTCAGGCTCGGTGACAAATGTCCCAGCAAGGTCCCCTCACCGTTCTCCTAGGACCCTGTGTCATGGAGCACATCAAAGCCTGGTGCAGGGTCAGAGGCAAGAACCTGGCGCCATGGAAGGGGGACACGAGGAGAAAATCACCACGTCCCTGGGCTTGCCCTGCACGTAACAGCTTCCCCAGTGATCAAAGGCACCACAGCCATCACCCAAGGCATACTGGGCCATAGGAGGAAGGAGGACCTGTGACCACCTCCAGGTCTCTGTGCGGCTGCCTCGGGCTGCCCTTCTCCACAAAATGGTTCAGACCTTCTAGCCCAGCCACCAGAAAGCAAAGAGGGAAACAATAAACAGCAGGTTCCTGCTTTTTCCTTAGCCCACATTCAGCTAGGCACCTTTCCCTGGGTTCTCCCACGCTGACCCAGTCCTGCCCCATCACACTTCCCTGCCGAGGGCTGCTGGCATGGGCCATGTCTGGCCCATGGAGCTCCAGCAGAGCCAGCCCCAGGGACTGTGCCTGGCTTTGAAGCATGCCAGGGTTTTTACTCAGGTGGTTTGCTCCCTTTTTCTTCCGAGAGCTGTGCCATGTGCCTCGGTGCTGGTTTTGTAGGGCAAACAAAGGCCAGCCCAATGGTGTGACACCGCACCAGGTGCCTGCCCCAAGCCCCCTTCCATGAAGATCATCTTTTTCCCCAACTGCAGAACCGTGGGGGAGCACACGAGTGGATGAACCTGTTGGGTGTCTGCTACACCACTGACAGCATCATTTGCGTGGTGGTAACAGCCCAGAGGCAGTGGCAGGGAGCAAGTCCCCCAAATAGGGGGCCATCAATGGCCAAGCAAACAGTGTCCTCACCAGTGCTGCCCCGGAGCTCTCTAGCACCTCCAGTAAGGTGGTTGGGTGTAAAGGTTGGGAGAAACCTGGGGGCTGGAAGCTCCTGCCAGGGTGGGCTGTCCTCTCTGAGCACAGTCAGCACAAGCCCCTCTGGAGCAGGGAAGAAGAGCCAAGAAATAACCGGCTGGCTTCACTGTTTCCTAGACTTCAAGGCAAGAAAGGTTTTTGGATACATCTGTCCCTGCCTTTACATTGCTGGCCATGTTGAACCCCAGCACTGCAGTGAGGCTGCAGTTTTGGAGAGACCAAGCTATGTGCAGTGTCCAAGCTCCCCCAGGCCAATCTCAATGGATGTCCCCAAAGAGCCCAACCACAAAGGAAAACGCATCCCTTGCCTGAGGGGCAGCTTGGCAGTGGGTCTGCAGCATCCCCCATGCAAGTCAACGCCGTGCAGGTACTGGCAGGGTGGGCGGTGACTCTGCACACCCCAGACATTAGAAAATAGATAAAAAGATGCAATCATAAAAGGTAAGCAGACACAGGGTGGGCAGGACAGGGCAGGTCCCATGC